TTACTTTCGTTATCACCTCATGATTTTTGAAATGTCATGGAAATTTTAAATGTTAAATATCTGGGAATGAGGTGATTGCCACCATGCTGGTTTTTTTTTATAGGATAAGTGTGACAAGCGAGCACACAGTCTACCCGATGGCAAGTGCAATCAAAGTAAAGATGCGCTGTCAGCCGCGAGGACTATGATGGAATGCCTCTTTTCCAGTAAAAAGGGTCTCCTATCCTCTATACTCACCATGCGAAACACAGCAGCATTAAGCTGATATTTTAAGCTGGTGTTCTGTGATAGCGTGGTCCTTCCCCGGTCGAGCTGACCCATTCGCGCTACAACTATACAATTAATATAGCTGCAGCATGGCTCTACTACGTTGAAATATTAATGGTCCTCTTAAAATTCACTTAGAATTGTACTAACAAAATTATTGTAAACTGGTTTTCTTGCTGGTTCTTCCCAGCTGGATGTATTTTTCGAACCAATGGTGGTCAAATAAAAAATGATTTTATTCTATTCTATTCATAGGATCTTTTTGAGAAAAGCTTCTTGCCCAATATCTTTGGAGAATTATCTCATTCTAACTACGCTGGATTGATAGCGCAGAGTCGATACCGCCGTATTGGTAATGTCTTTAAGCATTTTGATTTTATCGTCTGTAATCTGTTTGTCACCAGAAACTTGTCTGGGAAATGTGCAACGCATGGTGATATTCGCATTAGAGGAACATATTTTAAACTTTTTGATTTTATATCCTCTTAAATTGTCTTGTTTAATTATAGTTATTATGAAATTAAATACTTAATCACACAAATTAAAGCATTGATAACGAATTCTCCGTTAGTAGAAAGGTTAAGAAATTTTATAACAAATAAATGAGTAAGATATAGTCGATTCCTATCATGCATGCTTACCTCACGCCTTCGTCCTGGTCACCCCGTTTATAACGAGACGTGATAAGAATATTCAGCCATTTGTTCTTGAAAAATGAAAGTTACTTATTATAGTCACTTTTGCATTATGATAAAGGACGTAGTTGGGCATTCCTGTTGACGTAAGCGAATTTTGGAGAACGACATGATTGGTTAATGTTTTATAATAAATTATTTCGAGATATTATATAATAAAGATGTGAATTTATTATATAAACATATGAAACACTCCATTTATAATATATACATTATGCTCTTCTAACAAATAACATTAATAACAAAACATAGCTAACAAAATAATGTTTTCTTACTTTATTATTATTTAAATATTTATATTATACGAGCCGTGGTAGCACAGATGGTTAGCGCTCGCTGTAAGTTTCACAGTACGCGAGAAACCCGGGTTAGATCTCCGCCGGCACCATTGAAATTGTTAATTTCCCGGTCGAGCTGATCCATTCGTACTACAACTATACTACTAATATAGCTGCAGCATGGCTCTACCACGGATAAATAAGTGAGTTGCTGCTGCTGCCTTGTGACACTTTCAACCAACTTCAAATAAAGTAGGCAGCTACAGATGTGTCGTCACCTATGAGGTGTAAGACTGAATGCCTCACGTCATGTAATTGTACTGGCTCTCTACACCCTGCAGACCGCAACACATTAGTGTTTGCTGCCAGAAATAGGTTGTTACCTACCCAGACGGAATCCTAGGTAGAAAAGAAGTCTTACTACCTAGAATTACTGCAAATGCAATCTTATTCTAAGGTAGTAATAGTTATAGTTCAGTAATTGGCTAGATGCCAAGTAGCGCTACCCATCGTAACACCCTTTGTGTAGTCTCTTAAAATTCGAGGTAAATCGGGCGGATTTGTTGTTATTTTTTGTATTAATTTTTCATTTTTAAATGTAACTTCGTCTTTATCAATTCGTCTTCGTTTGTAAGAACTCTAAGTATGTTATTTGCATACTTGAATTCCTGCCGCTAGAGTAGTTTCCTTTTTTGAGATAAAGTAAACGTAAATATATTAAACAAAGTGGTTTTCTTTTATATGACACACAATGGCGGAATTTTTTCCGGATTTACCCATATTTAGTTAATATAGACTACGAAGAAAAATATATTTATTGCAAGTTACTGAACTAATTTATTATGAATCTATCAACCGATGTTTATGTTTAAAAAATTCCTTTAATTTTTTCTGAGTCTATGTATGTTGGCCTTGATGCATTTACAACTTCATCGAAATCGACTAGTAAGTGAATACTCAGGAATTATTGAGTGCGGCGATTCTGCAGGCGCGGCGGCGACCCGGCGCCGAGCGCCGCGACCGCGACTGCGATTCCGGCCCCTCCTATTGAAGTGAGGCTATTCAAGGGGGGGGGGGGGGGGGGCTTGATGTCAAAGAGCCCTCAGAAGGAAGTAGGAACCTCGGCTTGAACCACTATCGGAAAAAGGGAAACGGGTCGTAAGCTGAAAACGCCGGCATGCGGCATGTGTCTGTGACTTATATACACCAACACCAACACTGGGGCAACACAACACTGTATTAGTATTACGTACTGTTTGAATGTGTGTGAAATCCTTTCAATGGCGATAGTCTATACATATAGGTCACTCAGCTTCGGCAGCAAACATGTTCAGCCTGTGCCGGCAAATGATGCGTCTGCCATCGAACATATTATTTATATAATACCTCGAATTTGGGGCCTTACGTGCTTAAATACGAATTTTGACCCTTGAATCTCCGTATGTTAAACGTTAAAGTTACAAATTTGTGGCAATTGGCATGTATATACTTTATTATATGCACATATATATATACTAATTTGTATCATTTTTTTAGGGATTTATTCAGATTTCTTAATGAACGAAATTTTCAGCTAACTATTCCTTACTTTTCATCATAATACAGACGGAAAGATTATTACTAAAACAACAGTTTTATTCCGTTTTAAACTGTATGTTGTTTAGTATCCCAACGCACTCGCACATCTACACAATTTTCAGCTCTTCCTGCGTCCTTTTCAAAGTCCAGGCTAGCACATTGGCTCTCATTTCTAGAGCAGCTGCGTGGCCTTAATTTTCACGAAACATTTTTAATTTATTGAGCCACTTATTCATACCTTCTCGGTGGAGCCGTTTATCAAATAAATTGGCGCAGTATATGATTTTCTACTTTAATCTTGCTTCCCATGACCGATAATATATTTAAGGGTTCCGAGGATAGATGCCTGTTTCTGAACCAGAGACAAAAGCATAAACGACATAATGAGTATTTATAAAGGGAAAACTTCTTTAGAATCGTTGTAATTTCAAACTCGATGAAATAATAAAGCGACACTAAAAAGAGACAAACATATACATATAAATAAAAATTTAGCCTGCGAGAGAATGAGATAGAATATAGCGCTTACTATTATCTCGGTTTCCATTTCTGAAGGTATTCACTCTTTTTTTCTTTTGTAATATAATATTTTGAATAAAGATTTTCTTTTCTATTCTACTATCTAGAACTGTCTCGTCGTTACCATCAGGTAAGAACGTCAAAAAAAGAAAAGAAACGGCTCCGTGACGCAGTGGCTTAGCAATGAGTTGTTGCGCAAACAAGTATTTGTATGGCCTACAAATAATTGTTCTGGGTCTGGATGTTTGTCCTCGTGCGATTTTAGTTTGTAAACTGCCTCCACGACACAGGAGATAAATCCTAGTGTGTGGGTAACTTTTAAAAAAAAAAAGGCGATGTGTTTGCTGTGGTCAATTGACATCTAAATTTATCCTCGATTAAAAATAAAAATGCAGATGCGTTGTCACCCCTGATAGAATGCCTAGTTCCAGTAAAAAGGGTATGCGGTGCTCTACACTAACCATACGAAACATTGCAGCATTAAGCTGCTACTTTTACGCTTTTATTATGTGAGAGCGTGGTCCTTCCCCGGTCGAGCCGACCCATTTGTGCTACAAATATATGGTTACATTATGGCTCTACAAATGGAGTAATCGATTAAGTCTTAAGGCGTGTTGTACTGTTTTTTTAACTATTCAAAATTTTTGTTTGATTGCTCTCCCACCTGATGGTAAGTGTTTGTGTTTGGGTGTTCAGTATAATGGCATAAACGAGACGGTTGTGCCGACATCTATTGGATGTAAGGAATAATGCCAAGGGATCTTGAAATTTTCCATTGATGATTCTTACAATACTGATAAAAACACGGTAATGATCTACGCTACTGTCATACACATTGTATTTCATGTCTTTAATCACACAGTATCAAAAGTAGCCTATCAAAGGCCCACTGCTGAATGTAGGCCTAGCCCTAGATTGCCTCATATTTATACTTTGCTAAAGTTCTCACGCCTGGAAGGCGAATTGGCAACTAGGTTAGCCGCAGGAATTTTATGTGAATTTCGCGGTACGCAAACAATCTGGGTTCGATACCTGCCGACACCAATGATATTGTTAATTGTAATTTTAAGTGCTGATGCTGATTAACTTTGAACTAGGCGATAAGGGAATACATTAAGAGGAAACCTTCACGTCTAAGGATATTTAAAAGACTTTTTGTATATTCTTCATTTAAGAATGTAAAATACGTCATCTCTTGTTCTTTGTAATTTAAGATTCTAAGTTAGGTATAATACATACTGAGTTATATTAAGCTACCTTTACCTATTATATTTTGTAAGGAATGGCCAAATAAATATCTCTTTCTTTTTCACTTCCATGTGAAGTAATCTAATCGGAACCTTGTGACTGATAATAAAATCGATGATTGTAAGGTTATATGCAAATATCATTCTTATTTAATATCTAATTTTGAAGAACTAGACAACATAATATACTAAATTGCGGAGTTAGTTAAATAAGACTTCATTTTCTAAACAAACAATGGCGACCCTTAATTATTGCAATTTTGATAAGCACGGCAGCCTTGATACTGTAGGCATATTGTGATGGACTAAGAAATTAAATACAGGTTTGTTATTACGATTTATTTATTTTACAAATTTTTAAAATTTAAGTGGTTTGTCCTAAAGATTTTTTTACTGAATTGTAAATGACTTGCTTATTACCACGCAGCTCTAATTAAAACTGGGTTTACCAAATGACCGTTATAATTTGGAATGAGATTTGGAACATAGCTTGGTAATCCAGGAATGTAGGAAATTGGTGCAAATCCTTGTTTCAGCCAGGGTTGTGCTAAGAAGGCATTAGACACCACAGGTGCTGGGTGAGCTTGGGCTAAAAAGACAGCACCTGGATTTTCTTCTTTAACTGCTTCTGCAGTTTTCACTGATGCTGACGATTCCATTTTAGCTGCTTCTGCTTGAACGTTCTCCACGGGCTTTTCAGCATTTTCAGGTTTGCTTACGGCTTGCACAGATTTGACTGCAGCCATTGCTTCACCTTCAGGTTTTTCCTTTGGTTCCTCTACTTTGACTCCTTCAGGGGCGATGCTTTTTGTTTCTGCCGCTACAACAGACTGTCCCAAAACTTCTGTTTGAGCCTGAACAGTAGTGGGTGGGGCCCTGCTCGCTATAGTTCCATCAATCTGAGCTTCAGCGGTTTTTAAAGCGTCTAAAGCTTGCCATTTCTGTTCTTCTGCTGCCCAGAACGCCTCTTCGGCCCGCTCCTTTGCTAAATCATTAGCTTCAATTATACCCTCATCTGGTTTCTCTGTTGCTTGTTCAGCTAATTCTCTCGCCTTGTCGGCTGCATCTTGAACTTGCTGCTCAACTTGAACTTTTGCATTTATCGCTGCAGCTTGTAAGTCACCTGGTGATATTGTGGGTACAGCAGCAGGAATAGGTATCGTAGAGTAGGCAATGATAGGCGAAATCGGACCGAAAATGGCACCAGAAGGTGCAGCGGATGCAGAAGCCAAGAAGGCAGCGGTCAAGATCTGCAAATATTATTAAATTATTTGATGTTGTCCTAAAATTGTATTTCCTTTTAATTAAGAATTGTAATTGATAGAATGCTCTAGGTATGAAGTTCAACTGCATGTCATGTTACGTATTCAAATTAATATAATCTTATTACTTTAAGCGAGCTTTTCTTATAATATATACATAATGTATATATCATTCATTACCATTATCATCACAACCTATCAGTGCACAGCTGGACAGCTGGACATAAGCTTTGCCATTAGATTGCCTCATAAAGGGGGATATTTGCCAATTCCTACGTTTTGCAGGTGGGTTGACAAATACAGGTTTTTAAATTTATTTAGGTAGTTATCAGAACGATATCGCTGCCCATCACTAGTTTCAGTTTCCCTCTGTCGCTTCTAACAACACTCACGGGATTCTGTGGTGAAGTGGATATTTGTACTGGCTTATAATATTCTGTTGGAGCCACTTAAGCAATCTATAAAATCTAGTTATGTATCAGCCTTGAGAAATATATATTTATTTCGCTAACGCCTAGTAGAGCTTAGTAGTCTAGGTACTGTTAATAAATGTCAACATTAATATTACCGTGCTTTAGTTTGCTTTAAATAATTAACATTTAAATAGATTCACAAAGATTTAATTTAAGAAAGAGAGAAGAAACAGTCTATAAACGTCCCACTGCTGGGCCTCATTTCAATTTTCAAAAGATTTGGAAGCTGGATGATTGTGCACGCTATATCTGATGTACCTATGTAGACATCACGTGCTCTTAATGTTTATTATTTGTTAGACATGCATATTGCAAATTTTCCACACGTGTTCCTAAGCACTTACTCAATAATATGATTGTAAACATCCTCATATTACTCGAAGACGTCTGAACCGATTTGGAAAATTCTTTTTTGTTTCAAAGGTATAATAATGTGGTCCCATTTAAATTTTACCATACACTTTTTTTAATTTAACCATTTGTATTTTAACGTAAACGTTTATATTAATTAAAGCATAAGCAAAAACTGATAACGCTGTATCGTCATATAAAAGAATTATCCAATAATAAACTAGAAGACGAACATTCACATCATGTCGCGGAAATATTGATACTGTAGCTGACAGTCAACACTGCAAAGCGTAACAACAAAAGCAATTAAGCCTTTGTCAATTTAATCTAAATAAGAGGGCTGTAGATTACATTAAAAAGACGAATGTTAAGCTTTACACTGACTCTCTAACATGACGAATATAAAACTAAAAAATCAGTATACAATAATTTTGTTATCCTCATTGAAACTAATGTTCCTGTCTATTTATTGATATAGTATTTGTAATGAAAAGATATTTATAATAAGAATTGCCGTGTAATGACATCGCAAGAGAATCATTTCGTGGTTGTCGTAAGAGACGACAGAGGAAAACTGAAACAGGAGATCAAACTGATAACAGATCAAAATAAGATAAAAACTTCGATTGTAGACCTCGCCTGCCGAGCGTGGTAACAATGGCAAATATCCCCATAATAATAGGCAATCTACATAGAAGGCCTGTGTTCAGCAGTGGACCTTTGATAGGTTGTAACTAATGAATTAATTCATATTTATAAGGGATAAAATGTTGTAAGAATAATTTTTTTTTCAAATTTTTACACTATTTACATTGATCACTTATCACAAGAAACACTTAAACAAAGGAACACAACTTTACTGACCAGAACTCTCATCGTGCAAGATGTCTCGAAGCTACTGATTGCCCTCATCTCGTCTCATTCGGTTTTTATAATCACCCGTCATCGTCTACAACAACTATATAGAACAAGACTGGATACTGGAACTTGAAATATTAAAAAAAAGTCAATCTTCGAGGACAGACAGAATGCAGGAAGCGCGTGCATTTTGACAGCCGTTCTTCATTACTAGGGTAATTTTTAATGGGCAATGAGTTGCGTCATAATATAGGCGCCACATTACACTTGATGCATGTTTGACACGTGTTGGTTCTGACGTATCTGGTAATCCAAACGATGGGAGACATACGATCAAGATATATAAAATCATCTTCGTGTATAAATCATAACTTGAATTGCAATTGAATATATAATTTAAATCAGCGTTTTACGTAGAATTATTATTATCTGCCGACTTCCAAAAAGAAGACGGTACTCAGTTCGACTGTATGTTTTTTATGTGTGTTACCTCATAACTTTTTACTGGGTGAATCGATTTCTATGATTCTTTTTTTATTTGAAAGCTGGTACTTCTCGTGTGAATCGTCATATGAATTTGTTCAAGGTCAGACCAATAGTTTTTGAGTTATTCTTAATAACTTATATTGAAGTCGGCTGTACAAAATTTTTAATTTTAAATTATAACATTTTACGTTCAGTTGAATAATAGAATAATAATATTTTATTAATTATTTAAGGTCTTCGTATTCCTCCATTTTAAAAATTAAGTTAAAGAAAATTGCGACGATGGCGGTAAACGTTTTAAATGTCACCCTTAATTTATAAAAATACTAGCTGGCCGAGTAGACGTTGCTCTGCCCTTTACGGTAGGTACTTTGAATTTTTTAACAGCTTGACCTCAACGTTACCTATCGGATAGTAGCGTAGCTATGAACCATCGTTTCGACAACACAAATGTATTTTGTAAAATTACTTAATTTGTTAATTTGTTCAGAATTTACACCGCCACTTACGGACACACCAAAGATTGTAAATATAATGATAAATTGCTGTCAGTAATAAGACCGCCCCATTGCATACTTCTTCTATATAATTATGTCATTTCTGTATGTCTATATTGTGTGAAATAAAGAATATTAAGAAAATAAATAAATATTTTATATAGCTGGACATATTTTAAAGCAAGGTAGTATTTAGATTAAGCAAGAAGCAAGATAGATTTACGGTAAACTTAAAAAAAAAATGATTTCTATCAAAAAATTGCCGCGCCAGCAAAATAATGAAATAATATGAGGACAAAATACTAAATACGGTAAGTAAATATTGATTGTATAGGTTAGAATAAGAAAATAATTAAATTAGTGAATATGAATGCATATTGGGGCACAGTGATCATTAGTCAAACTAAAAATAATGATGTAGGCTAAAACTAATGTCTCATATTCCTAAATTTACAATTTATTTTTTTTTATAGGTCCTAAAATGGCGACAATTTGCTAAACAGCCTAAATGATATTTCGAAGGTCTTATAGTCTTAGTAGCTGTAACAGAAACACAAACAGAAACTTTTTTATTCAATATAGGTTATAAATAATACTTATTGAAAGTCACTCTTTTGTATAATTACCACTGGTTCGAATAAAAACCTCTGTCCTGGGAAGAACCAGCAAGAAACCCAACGGGACTTTTTTTTAAATAACAGCTTACAATCATGTATGTTACACAAATTAACAACACAACAAATTAGAAATAGCTTGGTAGCGATCACCTCATTGCCAGGGGTTATTATCATCTATAAATTCTTTGATATTATAATAACCCTTTTTATACAGACTTAGTTTAATAAAGTTTTTGAACTTTGGGCAGGTCAAATTTTGTATATTTTTTGGAATTTTGTTGTAAAAGCGTATACATCGCCCCAAGAATGAATTACTGACTCGATGGAGTCGAGTAACTGGTACTACTAGCTTGTGTCTGTTCCTAGTATTTACAGAATGAATATCACTTATTTTTGTAAAACTACTTTTATTTTTGTGTACGTACATTACATTTTCATAAATGTATTGAGATGCCAAAGTTAATATATTAATTTCCTTAAATTTTTGTCGCAGCGACTCTAGACTTCTTCACTTATCTCATTTAAATAATAATATTTTAAGATGTAACCGTGTTTTAATAATTTTGTTGTTTTATTTTATGGACAAAAGTGCTTACTTCTTTCACTTCTTTTAAGACAGAGACTGTACAACATGTAACAAAAACCCTGTGGTTCCCGTTAAGTACGTTATTAGGATCAGTATTGAAACCTATTGAAATAACTTTTTTTTTAAAAACTCGACCATATATTTTTAATTTTATTATTATTTTTTTAATTTTATGTGGTTTTCTTACCTCTTTCCGACACTAGCCGATGCTAAAGCTAAGTAAAGCGGGGTCTTTGACAATCCTCTTACTCCCCAGACAATGCAGAGGTAATAAAATCACATACAATTTGCATATTTTTTAATTAAATTAAAAAAAATATTGTTCGAGTTAAAAAAAAGGTATTTCTATACGTTTGAATAATGATCCTGATAACGTACTTAACGGAAACCACAGGGTTTTTGTTACATATTGTATAAAGCCACTCAGACAAAGTTAATAAATTGAAAAAATATTTTTTCATTTTTGTACCAACCTAAAACCATCGATTTAATCGAAATGATTGTATTTATTGGCAATAAATTACTACCCCTTTGATTCAGTTAAATTCGCAAACCAAACCAAAATATGACTGCCTTTAGCAAATAAAGATTTCCTATATATCTTTTCTTTCTAATGTTAAAAATTGGAGTTGTTTGGCAAAGAAAGAGATAGCTTTAATTCTTAAAGCTATCTCTTTCTTTGCCAAACAATATTAAGGAAGGTACATTTTATGACAGAATATTTTATCTCGCTCAGCAGTACGGTACCAGTACGAGCATGCTATTTATTTTGTTATTGTGTTTAGTTGATAGGTAACTCCTGGCAAGCCGTTTGTCGTTTTCTAGTCATACTCTTACGTCACGTAGGTACGGCAAAACCAAAAGAGTTAACTATTTTATTTGATAAATAAGTTAACTTATTGTGAAGTAATTTGACTGTTGTGTATCTTATACTGGTTTTATTTTACTTTTTAGGAAAATATGCCGTTTAAAATTTTAGAAACCATAGAGAAAGGGAAAAATTGCATTTAAATTGTACCAAGTTTGTGGGGATCAAAAGGCGTTTTAAGATGACCAAAAAAGCGATTAGATGCTAATATATCTAGCTAATAAAATCTATAATTTGTAATTGTAGCTACATCATTTAAAGCTACTTAAGATATATTTCTTTCTGTGGCCCAATTCTTTGTTTGCTGGCAAAATAAATAGATTTTTTGAAAATTCGCTGTTATCATCAATTGAACTACTTGTGCTGCTGCATGATAAATCATCATAATCAGGTGCCGAAAACTAAGTTACATTTGACATAACTGTGATCATGATTAACACTGTTTAATGTTTTTGTTACGGAACCCTCTTTGTTAGCCGTTGATGGGATCGACACTTGACTGTAGCTTGTCTGATTTACTAAAGTATTTCTATATTCTTTAGTATCACTATTATTTCGTTGATAATATGTAATATTTAAATATTCCCTTTTAATCCTTCTTCTAACTGCACCAAATCTTTTTCTTTTTTTACACATATTGATAATAAATTAATTTGTTCACTATAGTACAATATATTAAACACGCAATTACGCATTCAAAATGGCAATATTCTATCACATCATCATCATCATCATCATTACAGCCCTTCACAAGTCCACTGCTGAACATAGGCCTCCCCCAAGGAATGCCACAAAGCACGGTCCTAAGCCACCTGCATCCATCGACTTCCTGCATATCTTACCAGGTCGTCACTTCATCTAGTGGGGGGACGTCCTACACTTCGCCTGCCGGTACGAGGCTGCCACTCGAGAACCTTTCTTCCCCATCGGTTGTCGGTTCTTCGAGCTATATGGCCGGCCCATTGCCACTTCAGCTTATTAGTCCGTTGGGCTATGTCGGTCACTCTAGTTCTACTGCGGATATCCTCATTTCTGAGTTTATCACGCAGAGAAACTCCGAGCATAGCCCTCTCCATAGCTCGCTGAGCGACCTTGAGCTTCCTCATACGGCCAGTAGTGAAGGACCACGTCTCAGTTCCGTATGTCATCACTGGCAACACGCACTGGGTGTACAGTCTCGTTTTCAAGTTTTGAGGTATACCTGACGAGAAGATGTGCCGTAATTTCCCGAACGCTGCCCAACCGAGTTGAATCCGTCGATTGACCTCTCGGTCGAAGTTGGACTTACCTAATCGGATTATTTGTCCCAGGTAAACATACTCGTCAACAACTTCGAGCTTAGTGTTCCCAACAACTACCGGCATTCTATCACATATACAGACTTAATCTCTACTATAGCTATTATTTATTCTTTTAGTTTTATATCACTCTCATAGTATTTACAAGAGTGTACTACTACGCCATAAGAATAAGTTTTAGAAGGGAGTTCACATACACCACTGTACAGAAATAATATTTGAATGATACTATTATAACACTTAAAGCTGTAATAAGCAAGTGACAGCATGGAAAAACAGCTTCTATACAGCTTTAATGATAAAATCAGGTTGAAGTGTTACAAAATACTTAAAGTTGTATAGTAGAGTTTTCATATTGTGATTAAGAACCCTAAGCTTACTTAGATCCCATAATACAGACTTTATACAGCTTGAGCTGTATAATAACTCATAAACCACTCTTATAAGGGTACAATCTCTTTTCAACACTCTTATGCGCTTCTAAAAGAACTGTAAGTTCTATATGGGCTGGTATATGGATGTTCATAACTCTTGTGTTGTGTGCTTGGGAATGATGTTCCCGGTATTTTGAAGTATGACGATGACAGCTGCTTAGTTTGGTGTGGTGAAAACTTGTTAGCATACGAGGCTGCATACCATCACAGCCTATCAAAATAAGGGGGATATTTGCCATAGCTGGCCACGCTTGCTTCTATTCTTTTC